GATGTCATGTAACACCTGCTTAACAAATGGCATTATTTGAGGTCTAAGCTGTAAGTTGTATACTATAGCTGGAAGGAAACGGCAGTGCATAGGTGTATAGAAAGGATAAGTGTGCTAATAATCTGTGTTGATGGAAATTCCAGTAGTTTCTTGTTTAAAGTATCCTTACTTGAGATGGATATAAAGCTAAACATTATTTGCGCATCCACTGTTTCTTATTCAACCTGGAAATTAAATATGCAAATTTGCTGAATTTCAAAAAAGAGAGCGATAAGAAAAGAAAATCCCTGGTTGGTGAAGTATGTTAGAACATACAGGTGAGAAAATAAGGTGTATACAGGAATATTTATGAAACGTAAAAAAGTTATTACATTTCACATTAACAATTATTTCCAGTCATTTAAATTTTATAGAAATTTATTTTACGATGTCAAGAAGAAAATACAAATCAGGGCCCAGATGTGAGGCAGTGCAAAAATTTTTTGTATGTGATGTGTGATTCTTAATTTTTCTGTGAAGTGGCTCAATTACCCACAACGCGGGTGCGGTGCTGATTTCACGTAATGCTTCTCAAAGTTTTTGAAAACGCAAAAGAAAAAACGGGGAAAATCGTAATGGATAACTTCTTCAGTAAGGAGAACAGAAATAACCCGTCTGGCACAGCTAGTATATACATTTCATGGGCAGCATATTCAGTAATAATTTTCTGACATAGCAGATATCACTGATTTTATACACATGCAGACCAGTACACTAAATCATCCAAATGTGATCCTGCTACTCTGCTTGCAGCTTGCATCATGGTCATTGAGTGTGTAATAGCCTTCCCGATTTCTGGAATTGGATCCCAGCTATACAGGGTGTTTCAAATTTGACCCTCACATTTGGGATCTTGAAAATTGTAAGAGATACGAAGTTGCTTAAATTGGGGCAAAGTTGCGTATTTAAGTAATAAACAAAATGATGCTTATAAAGTTTCGATACTCAAAGTACCTCTGGAGAGAGGCGAAAAAAAACTGAATTTCCCCAAAATCAATATGTCATACATTGATGTTGGCAAACCTTAGTTATTTCAAAAAAGCAGAATTGTGTAGGCATTGAACTTATCAGACAGTCATTTGTTTCGCCTACCAGATTCATCCCAAAACTACTTTTATTCATTCTCGACTTCATTTGACATGGGATTCTAAAATAAATTGCATGCTAACATTGCCAATTTTTCTCCTCTACAAGATAGCGTAATTAGAATTACAATATAACGTTTCGTATCTTGTCTTTCAGCATTGACTTTATTTTTTCTTATGGATGCCATATTCAATTTTGAGATGAATAGTTTTAATTCTGATTTCAGAAATGTATAATATGTCATACATTGACACTGCTAATAAATCGCGCAGTGAACAATGTACAGAGAAGATTTATGTTTTGCCTACAAAATAACGGACAACATTTTGAACATCTGGTATGATTTACCTCTCCTTATTCATGATTATTATTGTTATTACTATCAATGAAATTTTTTGTTCAGGTTTCGCTATACGTTTTTATTTCCTTATAATTTTCATCGAACATCAAAGTCATGGTCAACTCAGGATATATACTAAGTGACATATAAATCCGAACACCCAGTTTAAATGGTTTTATTTTAATAAAATTTTGTATAAGTACTTAATGAAGCATAATAAGTAAATGATAAAAATTTCAAAATGATTGCACTGCTTTAAAGCCCTTTGACCTTTAATAATGTGTGGATGCACCCTGATGTGCATTCTCCAACGCGCCTAGGCATGCTTCTGATCAGGTGGTCAATGTCCTCCTGTGGTATCTCATTCCAGGCAACCACCAACTCCTCTCGAAGTGCTTCTAGAGTCTAAGGAGGACGTTGCAAATTGAGCAATCTCCTACCCATCATATCCCACACGTGCTCAATTGGGGATAAGTCGGGAGATCTTGGTGGCCATGGTAACAATGTGACATCATTATGTTGAAAGAAGTCTATTGTGACTCTTGCAACATGTGGTCGGGCATTATCTTGTTGGAAAGTTGGATCTGCCAGGGTGTCAAGATAGGGTAAAAGATGGGGTTCTAGAACTTTGTGGATATAACGCTGCGCGCTCATGTTACCTCCGATGAAGATTAAAGGTGACCTGGAACCATAAGCTATAGCACCCCAAACCATAACTCCAACAGTGTGATGAACATGTCTTTCAACAAAAAACTGTGGATTCCTCCTTTCACCACGTCGCCTTCTAACCCTGGCACGACCATCGTGCATGCCTAAACAAAATCGAGACTCGTCACTAAAGACAATACTGTTCCATTCCTGATCCCAGAGTGACCGTTGTCTGCACCACTCAAGGCGATTACGTCGGTGTAAGGGTAAGAAGGCGACGTGGTGAAAGGAGGAATCCACAGTTTTTTGTTGAAAGACATGTTCATCACACTGTTGGAGTTATGGTTTGGGGTGCTATAGCTTATGGTTCCAGGTCACCTTTAATCTTCATCAGAGGTCACATGAACGCGCAGCGTTATATCCACGAGGTTCTAGAACCCCATCTTTTACCCTATCTTGACACCCTGGCAGATCCAACTTTCCAACAAGATAATGCCCGACCACATGTTGCAAGAGTCACAATAGACTTCTTTCAACATAATGATGTCACATTGTTACCATGGCCACCAAGATCTCCCGACTTATCCCCAATTGAGCACGTGTGGGATATGATGGGTAGGAGATTGCTCAATTTGCAACGTCCTCCTCAGACTCTAGAAGCACTTCGAGAGGAGTTGGTGGTTGCCTGGAATGAGATACCACAGGAGGACATTGACCACCTGATCAGAAGCATGCCTAGGCGCGTTCGAGAATGCGTAGCACATCAGGGTGCATCCACACATTATTAAAGGTCAAAGGGCTTTAAAGCAGTGCAATCATTTTGAAATTTTTATCATTTACTTATTATGCTTCATTAAGTACTTATACAAAATTTTATTAAAATTAAACCATTTAAACTGGGTGTTCGGATTTATATGTCACTTAGTATACATCAATGGAAAGTCCATTTAAATGTTCAATATTCCTAGATGAAAAAACAAAGAGGTGGTGGAACTTTATAGAAGAAATGCCGAATTGAAAACTTGACTACCCCATCTTCTAGAGGAGAATAAGTAACATTGACAGCATGCAATTTATTTTGTACTCCTATCTGAAGTAAAGTCAGGAAAACATGAAAGTGATTTTGGGATAAATGCGGTATGCCAAACAAATGATTATCTGATATCCGCAAGGCCTACCTAGGAAATTCTGCTTTTTTTGAAACAACTAAGGTTTGACAATGTATACATATGATACATTTTTGGATTGAGAATTAAAAACTCTGTTCATCTGTGCAAAAATCCAATATTGCGTCAATTAGAAAAAATAAAGTCGATTCTGGAGGACAAGAGACGAAACGTCTTATAGAAATTCTAGTTATCCATTATTTTGAAATTCCACTACAAATAAAGTTAGGACAAATCAAAACAATTTTTGGGAAAATTCGTTTTTTTTCGTCTCTCACCGGAAGTACTTTGAATTCCGAAAGTTTCTAAGCGGCACTTTGTTGATTACCTTAATACACAACTTTGCCCCATATAAGCGACTTCGTATCTCTTACAGTTTCCGAGATCCCACTGGTGAGGGTAGAATTTGAAACACTCTGTATACTATTCTACATCCCAGTGGTAGGGTTGGCAGCGCTGCGCCCCGGAAATAGATTCTTTGGGTTACCAAGTGGCAGAACGTGGTTGGCATTCGGGATTTCACGTCGGTCGCGGTGCGTTTCCCCGGACGTTTCGTTATTTTATACCGAGAGAAACACTTCCAGAACTTTCTGCTGCTGCAAAATAAAACAGTGCGAGATGCAGCCAGCATTTGTTACGTATTGCGCCGTCGGCGTCGAGGATAGTAGAATTGAAAATCGAATTCTTCTCGGACGATACATGAATACGTGACAGCTTTATGAATTGCTTGTTTGCAATATAACTTACAATACCATGCTGAAGTTTGAGGATTCCGGCTATACTTTGGGTCTGTGAAACTTGTCATTTCATCAGATTATTCAAGATTTCTAAGGGAAAGTGAGAATCTTAGTTTGAAATGATAGAGGGAAATCCCGCAACCGTTGGAATTCGAATCCATGAGCTTTCACAATCCATCCACGGTACGTTTATATTGGCAACTTACTCAAGATGTTCAAAAAGTTTCCGACCCCCTACTTAATATGGAACATTCCATTTAAAGAAGTGGCAGAATTTAACAACTTTTCAATGAAATGTATCATATATGATTTAATCTACAAAAAGCTCAACTTTGACTGCTTTCCCGTCTTTTATTTTGAAAGATAGTGATATTATTTGCCATTGGTGAATACTTAGCATTTCGATTACTTAACGGATCGACCGTTTTGGTGGTGCGACATCTATCTGTGCATAGTGTAGACGTCAATCAGTTATAAGCTATAAGACTTAGGGGTCTTCCTGTCATTTGAGCGTATGAGCTGCGGCTATCCGCACTTTTCTTACCTACCTGCGCACACCCTTAGGTTGAATCACAGCCGACGTCAACTACCTTGACGTCGGCTGTAGTTGAATATTCGAAACTGGGCGATATTTGGACAAAAATGACAAAATTGCGAGCTATAGGCGTCTTTAAATAACAACCAAGTACTAAGATAGAAAAGGAAATGTTGATGAAAGCTTAAAATAAATGTTTTAAAATATCTAAATGGAAAATTTTTATAGATGCAATCAACTTGAAATTTGAGGTATTTTTAGGGCAGAAAACCACGCTTATACACCATAATAATTTTAGTAATTGCGCATAAAAAATGCCTACACCTCACGCAGTGGGTTGACAAACTTAAATTCGCGATAACTGGACTAGTTCTACACAAGGAGTCTTATCGTTGAATATGAGCCAGACAATTCATCCGTGTATTCGTATATACTCGCGGAATGTAATATTACTTTTCATGCATATATGTGCCCTTTGTGATGCTGCACACTGGGGCTTGCTGTCTGGAAAATTAAAAGAAAACCGTTGAATTGAGACGTGCTCCGCGCGCTGAAAACTCCTAGGGGTTTCATAATGTGGCTAATGTCTCTGCTGGGATACCACCTTTTGTCGGTGATGCCGGTTGTATGTACGTTTTTGTCGATTTGTGTATACGAGGAGCAAGTGCCGCGTTTCAGCATAAATGGGACGAACAGGTAAATTTATCCAAATGACAAGTACTCACACATTCGAGCAGCCAAGAAGGCAAAATCTTGTTAAAACATCATTAGTCAGGTCCGATTTGTTTCAAATCGGGGCAGAAGGTAAAACAAATCGGGATTTAGGGTTACAGATCGGGGGAAACAAAAACAAGGTTTATTAAAATTAAACTTTACAGTATTGCGTTTCGCAAATAAAATAGTTTATATATTAGTTATCAACTCAGTTCATAGGTTTGAATAGTTTATTTTTTTAGAAAAATTATTTTCCATTAGATTTTGCCGTCTTTAGGATGGTCTTATTTTTTATAACAAGTTACAAATTTCACTACCAATCATACTAAAGTTAGTTTTAAATTGAATTTCTGTTTTGTCATACTCGAGTGTCAAGCGGTTTCACCTCTCAGACCAGATGGGAAAATAGCCTTTCCGTTGGTGCGTTTGATACTGGTATTGAATCCATAAAAGAAAATGACTTTTGAAGATTTGCAGTCTTGGTTGAAAAAATATCGCGTCATTTAGTGTATCGATCAGGTGTCAATCGGGGCGTGTCCCGCGCAAATCGGAGCAATGCTGATCATAGCCATGTAAGGGCTCCTGAGCACACAAGACAGTGTAGCTCCAGACTAAATAGAATTCAGACTAGGTAGAAAGAGCCTTCGTCTCCAAACTCTGTAGTCAGGATTGAAATGCATACTACAAGTGGACTTGACATAAGTTAATTTAACGGTTCTGTCATTAAATCCGTATTTTTAGTGTTATTTTTTAAAAGTGTGTGTGTTTACAGACAATTGTGATGTCGGGCGATTTCAGAACAGAATACATCTTGCATAATTTATAGAGTGTGTAATAAAAAAGCAGTTTTTGGACATCAGTGTCCGACATTAAATATCGCAAGAAAAAATGTGGCATTTCAGTGAATTACATTAGTGTTATCCTACCTTTCTATATAGGGTGTGTGGAAGATACCATCATTTTAAGGGGTGATAATATACCCCATTAGGAATACATTGAATGACATATACCTTAGTACAAAGTCGAACCGTTTTTGAGTTACAAGCAATTATGTTAAATCCTAGAAATAAGTAAAAATCATGCGATAAACCATTGCTTATTCAATAATGAGGAACAACTCCTTTGTTTTCTTATTTTGTCATTTATCTTAATGCATAGTCTACCTATACAAATAGTTTTCAAGTTAATATCGCGTACACGTTATAAAAACTAAAGTTAGTTTACTGAATGGTTTGGTTTTCCAGTGCTTCGTGGTTTTTCGAATGAATTTACGGAAAAAACAGTGTTATTTAAAATCAATGAAAAACCTCTATTCTTTCTCAAGGTATGTCATGCAAAGCGATCCAGCCAGGATTCTTTCCTCAATAACCCAAAATATTAGATTAAGCAGAATGTCATAGAAATTACAAAAAAACACTTTTCGTGAAAAAAAGCATTTGGTATTGACGAAGTTATTCATTCATCCGAAAACAGAACGTAAATTGTTATTTCTTACGGATTTTCTAGCAGTACTCAGTTTTCTAATAGTGATTTGGTTGAACAATGCGGTGTAGCTTTTCTGAATATTCACTGGTAAGATAAGGCAACTGCTTAAACGATACACCTCAGAAATACAGAACCGTGAAACACTATGTATGTATTATGTTGTAATGAAGGACTAGTCGCCATGTTCGTTTCTAATATCTGTGGACATAGACAACTGCTTTATACGACGAAACGAGTTCAAAGTAGCATTTGATTTGAAAAATTGTGAGCAATAGGCAGTCAAAGAGGACATGAAAATGCATCAGAAATAATGGTTTATATCGTTAGAATGAGCAAATAAGTAATTGTGTTACATTCAAGAGCTTTATCAGAGGAATGGGTACGACGACTATTGTTTTATTTTCTATGGAATAAAAATAACTGGTGAATCACAGCTTTGTTCTTCTAGAGTAGGGTTTCCCAACCTTTTTTTTGTTGAGGCTCCCCGGACTATAAATTATATTCTCATGCCCCCTTTACTTTTTCAATATATACAAAAAAATGCATATTATATAGGTACAAAGACTTTTATTTTAATTCTAATGAAGAAACTTCAAAAGTTTAAATAAACTAATAAATGTTTTTTTTCGAAAAACTTGAATAAAATAAGAGTAGGTACTAATGAGCTTGCATGTACTGTACCAGTTGGTTGATTCTAGGTTTTGTTTTTGCCAGAGCTATCATCAGGTCGCTATCGACATCAAGACGATTTCGCTGTTTAGTTTTAATTAAAACTAGAGCAGAAAAGCCTGTCTCACATAAGTAAGTTGAAGAAAAAGGAAGTAGTATTCGTAAAGCAAGAGAGGCAAGTGTCAGATTAACAGGCTTTGTTTTAATCCAAAATTTCTCCAATGTTAAAAGATGGAAGTCATATTTCATGGACGAATCAGCCTTCATTTCTAGAAATTCTTCCTGAACTTATTCTGGTAATTGTCGACAACAAATGGATTTCTTGTCATGTACCATATTGGTGACTCTGAATTGATGTCTCCATAGTATCGGCGAAATTCGTCTTCCAGCGCTTGCTTATTATAGTGTTGTTTCTGCCCTGAAGTTTCAAGTTTAGGTCATTCAAAGAGTCAGATATGTTAAATAAGCCAACCTCCATTGAAATGTGTCATCTATGAACATGAAATCGTGTTTTTCTTTGAACTCAAGAAAAAGAATTACCTCTTCTTTCAATTCATAAAGGTGAGCCAACATGTTGCCTTTTACAGCCAGCGTACTTCTGTATGGAACAGAATAACTTTGTGATCAGAATCGAGATCCTCGCGAAGTAAAGTAAATAACCGACTGTTCAAATCGCTGCTCTTGATGTAGTTTACAATCCGTATAGCCGAGTCCAAAGTCTGGCGGAATTTCTGTGGCAATGTTTTAGAAGAGAAAGCTTGCCAATGAATAACACAATGTGTACTAACCATTGCAGGATTTTTTTCCTTGAGCTTTTTAGCTCTGCCCGATCGTACACCTATCATTGCAGGTGCGCCATCTGCGTAGAGTCCAATGAGTTTCTTCCAATCCAAAATCATTTTTTTCAACAAAGTTTGATATTGAATTAAATATATCTTCAGATGTAGTACCTGCTGCCAAAGATTGTGAGTACAAAATCTCTTCTTGAATGATATCTCCGCCGATGTAATGAACATAAATCATTTATTAACTATGCACAATTAACGATGTCGGTGGATTCATCTCAACTAATGGCAAAAAATGGCGATAATTTTACTTTGTTAATTATTTGTGACTTTATGTCTGCTGCAATGTCATTGATTCTACGCTTGACTGTGTTATTCGAAAGAGAAATAAACTTCATTTTTTGCTCTGCATCTTCTCCTAAAATTATCTGCGTGGCTTTTAGGACACATGGTTTTATTAATTCTTCACCGATAGTACGAGGTTTCTTTTGCTTTGCTATCATAAAAGCATTTCAAATGAAGCTTTGAGATGCTGCGATACACCTGCGTGATAACTTCCCGATTTATCCAGTCTCATCCGCTCGAGTGATTTTGCTTCAGAAGAAAAAAACTCTTTCGTCTTCAAAACCAGAGTAGGATGTTGTTGCTTCAAATGCCTTTCAAGGCGATATCATTACTTAAAACTTTCATACATATCACACACTGATGCTATTGTAACTCTTCTTTTTTCTATGAAGGTAAATCCAAACTTAACGTAATCTTCAGGCAACTTTCTTTTTTTCGCTGCCATTTTGGACCTATAACAATAAAACAAATAAGTAATAAGTAACTAAGCAAAACATCTACATTTAATTACTGACTATATGACCATTATTTTATCTTAATGTATTCAACAGTATATTGGCCATCCTAAGATTTATATTTACTTACTTAAAAGTTCGTCGTTGCAAAATTATTTCGCCACGTTGGTTTGATTCTGATGTGGTAAAAAAGTCCCAATGGCCGATCTATGTACGCGTCTCCACCCAATCAACAATTTGGTAAATTAAATGAAAATGGTAACTGAAGTTTGTAAATACACAAACTTACCTTTTAACAGTCAGACACAATAATTTGACACACTCAAACAGATTTCTCAAAAAAACATGTACATCGAAACGTCAAATTTTTCTCAAGTTTGTGGAAACGAATGTCACAGATGCTCATCCGCGTCTGGTAGGTACACAATTGTTTTCTAAGTGATGAATTATAAGCGGAGTGCGGCGGGGTGCGCGCGGATTTCATGTTGTGACTTGTCGAAACTTGTATAAACTGCGATTGACGATGCCGGCTTTTGAAACATCGGTTGACACAAAAATTTTAGCAAAGAGGACTCTTTATACTTTATTAATCTCTCTAGCTTTCAATGGTCTTTGCCATCATCATCAGGAGCTGTAATAACATTGAAAAGAATATCAACAATTGTGCAAAATGAATGTTAAGTTAACTTACGGTAGTATGTGAGGATGTTGCTAAATGTTATTCACGTTTAGGTTGAGGGAAACACCCAGAAACCTGGTGAAAGATGGATACATGGTAAAAACGTCAACATCGATACAAACTACATACAGCTGTATGTCAAGAAGAAATTAAAACGGATTAAAATTATTTAAAATAAAAGTTAATAATTACATCGTGAACCACCTGATGATTGCACAAAATGGTGGGCATAGAATCATAAGTAAGATGATGATGATGTCAAAGGTTCATCTTACTTATGATTCTATGCCCACCATTTTGTGCAGTCATCAGGTGGTTCACGATTTATTTTTTAACTTTTATTTTAAATAATTTTAATCCCTTTTTATTTGT